CTCCTTTTTTTTAATATCTAATATTTTTACATGCTGCAAGTGAGAGAACCTGTTGTTAAAATATTTGAATCCCACCACTGCATGCATTTTCTATATTACTATTTTAATGTAGTATTATTTGAAACTAGCTGGAGTACCTATCCTCTGGAGGGAAGTTATGTCAATTCATGATTAATGAAAGGTTATCTTAGGACATGAAAAGTTGCTCCCCTTATATATGTAATTGTAAATTGTAAAAAATGCAAAAGCCTATAAAGACTGCAAAAACACCAAATGTAAAACCACAAATTTTCATGTATCTCCGCATGGACCCAACAAACCTTCATGTCAAATTTGGTGAAGATCTATCAACAGGGTGCAAAATAGTGGCAAAAAAAAGCAAAAATGCCCATAAAAACCACAAAACTGAAAATGTTAATGTATATCCCCATGAACCCAATGAACCTCCATACCAGATTTGATGAAGATCCATCCACAGGAAGTGAGATAGTGGTAAAAAACGAGAAAATGACCATAAAAACTGCAAAACTGAAGATTTGTATGTACCCCCATATGGACCTAATGATCCTCCATACTAATTTTGGTGAAGATCCATCCACACCCTGCAAAATAGTTACATGGACATACAACAGACAGTACTATTATATTTATAGAGATTTATCAGTTATTCTGTGTGTGTGTGTGTGTGTGTAGTTTCCCATAACAGATGGTCAAGAAATTTGTTAAGTTGATTTCTTTCTAACTACCTTTATCATTCTCTGAAAATAACACAATGGGCTATGTTTGTAATGCTGCACTTTGTGCAAGGATGTCAAAAGCAATGCAGCTGACCAGCAGTAGCATAGGTGGTGCTCACATCCTGAGAACATAATATTATAGCATTTGGTATGTAATACTGTTTCTCTTAAGCCCTCAGTTTGGTAAACGAAGTATAACTTTTTTTTGTTCATAATAAAACTCTTCTAATGTTTAACCTGTACTGTTAACTAGTTCTTAATAAACCTCTTTATAAGTTGTTAGAAGAGCTTATAAAAACAACTATCTAATGTAGGTACTGTCCTTCATCCAGTAAATGTTATTTTTATTCTTTTTTTTGAGTCTAAATAAAGATTTGTTGTCATTGTGTGTTTTACTTTGTGTCTTTCCTTATCTCACTCAGTCGAAATCAGAAAATTTAGAATTACTTTCTAATGAATATCTTCTTCAATCTCCTGTTATTTTGCAAACCTATCTCACTGTTCTAAGAGAATTTAGTTTCACCTGAAAATACCACAGTATTAGAAAATTATGCGTTAATAAAACTTAATGTTTGAATCAATAATTTAAAAAATCTTCTTCAGAGTTTTCTATCTTATGTGATTGATGCCAGAAATAATTCATATTTCTTAGATATTAAATATAAGGGTCTTTTAAATAGGCAAAAAAAGAAACTACTATTGAATTCAGATATAATCTTCTTTACTTAATATATTCCAAGTGATTATAAAAGCATTTGAATCCACATTCTTTCTGGCAAACCTGTGGATTATATTTTGTCATGTGACATAAATTAACTTTACTTTGGCTTGGATGTTAATTATTTGATTGAATATTTTACTTCATGTTTTAGAAAAATAGAACATACCTTTCCCTTATACCACTTTTTTATATAATTTTTTCAGTTTGAAGAATTTTCTATTACCAATATTATATATATAGTTTATTTTGAAGCTCATTACATTCTTCATAGGGGATAAAATTGAATCACACCCCAAAGTAGGCCCGGGATGGCTAGGGCACTTATCTCACAATCTGAGGGTTGTGGGTTTGAATCCCCATCCCATCAAAATATGCTCGCACTTTCACCCGTGGAGGCATTATAAGGTGATGGTCAATCCCACTATTCATTGGTAAAAGAGTAGCCCAAGAGTTGGCAGTGGGTGGTGATGACTAGGTGCCTTCCCTCTAGTCTTTCACTGCTAAATTAGGGATGGCTAGCACAGATAGCCCTTCTGTAGCTTTGTGCAAAATTCAAACCAAACCACACCCCAGTGGTGATGTCAACCTGATCAGTTTGTTTCTTTGTGCTGTCATATTTTTTGATATGTTGAAATTACCATACTGAGGTATAGTTTTTCTGTTCAATCTTGTCATGTAGACATTGCTATGTTTTTTACACTGTGTAGTAGTCAAATACTTTAGATGTTCTACTTTTGGAGTAATGATGTATACAACCTGAATTAATGATAATTTACTTGCTATACAACTTTCTCCTGTAGGGGACATATTTACTTATGTATATGTATAGGTAGAGTTTTTTATATCAAGCCACTTATCTGATGTCAAATAAAGACAAGTAGCTTAAGAGATTGAAATATGAAAGTATGCTCAGGTATTCTGTTTGCATCAAAAAGGCTTTAATATTGATATTAATAGCTACTATATCAAACTAAAAAGCTGCCATGTGGGAGTATACTATACAAATTGTTGTGTGACTTCAACAAACACTCAAAACAAAGTAGTTGGTGAGTGCATTTTCTGTCTCGGTACTTTGTAGATTTTCTAAAATGATTAGAAAAAAAAGTCATATCATAAGGAACAGACAGAAGCACTTTTGTTTACATTTCCATAATAAATTATCTTTAAATGGAATATATTCTCAAATTTAAACTGAGGCTTCATTTCTACTTGGTCCCTGACATAAACAGCATGTTCACTCTTTGACAGCATAAAGTTAAAAATGTGTATGTTCTTCTAAGCACAGTAACAATACATAAATGCTTAAAGACAGCGATATTTCATTGTGATATATAAATTTAGTGGCCTTTAGACTGTTTAAGCAAGTACTTTTATCAACTTGTCTTCTAGTGAATCTTGTTCTCACTTATGTTACTAAAGGTTAATCTCCTTGGTCCCCTACCTCTAGCTCCTACCCTGTAGCTGAAGTTGGTAACACTAATCCTGTTGACTCACCATCCTCAAGTATGAGTGTTTTTGACTCTCCTGAACATCCTGTATGTCACCCACTAATTTCCTCATCCAACGACATTTGCAGTACCTATGATCCAAGTTTGGATGGAGATGCTGTAGCTTATCTACCTTACAGATATTCTTTTCAAACTCCACCATTCCGGTCCACACGTATCCAGCAACCCCGCCAGCCTTCTACTGTAATAACTAGTCTCAGTTGCTCAAGTACAGAAAGTGTTGACTCCTTTCCTAACATCATGATGCCAACCATCAGACCTTCCCTTGCTGCTGAGTAAGTTGTTTTTAATCAATAAAAGCTTAAGAACGTTTTTTATTATAACCATTACTTTCTTTATTGAAATGTATTGAAATTTAATCCTATAGAAAAATATCAGTGATATGATTACAGATGTGGATTAATATACTTTGTTAAATTTTTGAATGCTTTAAAGATAATTCAGCAATGAAAATAGAAATTTATTAGACAACACGAACAAGGTAATCATGGAAATGTATCTTACCCTTGTATAGATACTACACATGTGGCATAGAGTTTATAAATGAAGCAAATGAAGCTTCAAGATACACAGAGTTTACAGGTCGAGTTTGTACATAAATAAGTATTGCTAGCTTAATAATTACCAGAAACTGATGATAAGGTTAGTGGTAGTTAGTAGTACTATATATCTGCAGAATTGATGAAAAAAATAGACAACTGTATGTTTCACAAGTACTGATTTGTGAAACATGCAATTGTCTTTGTTTTTTACCTAAATTCTGTAATTGTGGAGTTTCACCAAGTACTGATGGTTTCAAATATCAGTTATATACAGAAAGTCTTAACAAAAGGAAAAATCATTCATACAATGCATAGTATGTATAACCTCTCTATTTATCATAAATATTACAAGAAATGTAATGTGTAAAGGTAACTTGCAGGTTTTGATTTGTGGAAGTATACTTTATCTGCTCTTGGAACAAGAGGTTTTCTGATCATTTGTAATAAAACCAAGTAATTTTATAAACTTTTCTTTTTATCAACCAAAGTAAATGTGTAAATGTTAAGTTATAAAAATGAGCATAGTTGATGAATATGTCCTTTATAATTGCAAAGATATATAACAGGTATTTTACTTTGATAGCATATCATACTTTGATATTTTATTTTTGTATGTGTTTTACAAAAAATTTTGTAGTCTTTCCAGTGTAATTAAACTAACCTATGTTTGTGTGTTCTTGTATTCTGTCTTACTACTAGCTATTCCGTAGAGGACTCTGATGAGCAGTTAGGTCCTAAACCTCCTACCCCTCCCCCACGAAAGTTCCTTAGAAGGGGTATAGGTAGAGATGGTAGTTTCCGTCCGTCTTGTCTCCGCAAGCAGGATAGTAACGAACATCCCATTAGCACTGACTGTGGACCTGAAGATCATCATCAGCAGAATGGATACAATGACAAAAGTTCCTTAAATCATGTGGCAGCTTATCTTAGGCATGCTCAGCTTCCTGCCATGGCAGTGGCAGGACTTGCCTATGATGGTGACATACACCAATCGACTGATCAACAGAATGACAAAGGGCATCGTGAAGATGGAAAACCTTACTACTTTTTAACTCACAAATCTACCTATTGTGGTAATTTTGCTTTGTTGTATTATTTAGGAATAATTATCCTCATCTATAAGTACATCTTTTGTAAAATAAATTGTGTTGAAGGAGCATTATATATATTTATGTGTGAAAGTTTGTCAGACTTTTGTATTCTTTCAACATGAAAGAGTGTTTGCAAGAGACTGTCTGTAACTATGCCTAGTACTCACGTTTGTGTACTTTTCATAGTATAGGTTATTATTTTGAGTACAAATATAACTATACAAAAGAAAACACAGGAGTGTTAGATAACTTGTTAATTCATTAAATGTTTGATAGAAATTCATATATAATCACTCATTAGATAAAAATTATAGTGTACAAAGAAAGTTCTTACTTTTCCACATCAATTTACCGAAAAAAAGACGTCCACTGGTCTCCTTA